GGCCATTATTTGAGGGTTTGGCTCTCTTCCACATTTTGAAGTGTTCTTGAGTGAGACACTGATCCCCAAAACCGCTCTCTAAATGTAAGTCGCTTACCAAGTGAACGTAATAAAGGATCAGAATCTATTTTCTAATCTAGCACATTAAATTGTTTTAGTTTTATCTGCCCAGGTTTTGAGATATCTGTGTTCGATTTCTACTTCTACAGCAGTACAGTGGTGGTAGAAAATAGTTCCAATAAAACCTGTCCACATCAAGGTGTGTAGTTTGCAGTTATCTAGAATGAAATTGCCATTGGTTCTGGGGAGACACATGCAGCTAAGTAGCAGAGTTTGTTTTCTCCAGATTTCTGTCACATAAGCAGGAAATAGTTTTTTGTAATTGGGATAGGGGAGTAGAGAAACCTCTGCTGAATAAGTGGCTACATATTCACACAGCCAGATTTCTAAATGGCCTTTTTACAAGTATATATGTGCAAAAGACTTTAGACATTTAAAGTATCAAAGTAACCGGGAAATATTTACTATTTGTACTATTTTAAATGATATACTATGTATGTATGTACACATGAATTTACAGTGGTTACATGTGTGACCTGGTTTCTCTGAGTAACCCATTTACTTATATTCATGTAAATGTGCTGATCGCTGCTGAATTTTTTAATTATTGTTATTGTTGTTGTTATAGTTATTGTTCAATGCTTTGGACACCACAAACCAAATCCCATTCACCTACATTGTATTGGCTACATATCACCAGAGGTTGAGTAAGAAAATATGTGTAATTTTGTTAAACTGACCCTTTAAAATGTCCCAGCAGAGGCAAACACCACAATAATCCCACCTTTATGTAAAACACATTCAATTTGGGTGTGAACAATAATCTATTATTTACTCGTATGAATTAAAAATATTATATTTGATATTTGTTCATGATAAATCAGCACATAACAACGAAAAATGAACAGAATTATTGACATAATACTGTGGGGTGTGGGTAATAGTTCCTACCATAGTGTTTGTTATGTTTATAGTCTTGGTTATGACTAAGTCACACAGTTAATTGAGACTTGCCTTTACAATGTCTTGGTGTGAAGTATTTTCTCAGTCAATCCGCTTGTGTTACTTACTTCAACGGCAAGTGAAATACTGCAACAGTCGACTTCAAAGATGCTCTCTTATCGTCCTGAACAGGCGGGAGAACGTCCTCTTTGTGTATAGGAGAGTGCGGGTCTGTTTACTTCCCTTCAACTTATCCATGTTTGAAACATTTCTGTCTTTAAAAAAAACCTCTCAGCATCTCTGTCTCTCAGCGCGGGACAACAAAGTAAATGACAACATCCATCTAGAGACTTAAAGCCCCTCTGGTCCCCGAAGGCTTTTTCTTGTGTGCAGCAAACCTGAATTCATGTGTGCAATTTTTTGTGTGCAAGTCACTTGTACTTTTGTTTTTTGGTGTAATGAACCTGATATATCATCACATGGCTAAGTCACCATGTGGATTCAAAGATATTTAAAATGTAGAGTTGCATCCACAGCTGCTATTATAGTGGAGGTCATATTGTCATATTGCAGCTCGAACACAACCATGATGTATTTACACTTCTAGAAAGTATCTCATTAATACATTTTAACCCCTAAATTACCAATATCTTCATCATGTGCCATTAACCATACTGTATATTTCCAAAAATATTAGCAAATAATCTTGAATAAATAAAATAAAAAATAAAATCTTTATTAGAAAATCTTTTTAGGTGGTTTGGCTCCACTTTCCACCTCTGTTGGATTTCATTTGAGCTTAGAGTGACTATGTTATCCTTCTGAAGAGCACCGTGGCATTATATGTTCACAACATCTAGAAAACAGAATGATAATTGCAGCTTTTCCTGTCTCATGCCTATTCCACTGGACATTTAATACCCGGGTCTTTGTGTTAGTTTATTAGTCTTATTTTATTGGATTTATGCTGCGCTACACTTGTGTTTTGAATTTCTACTAACTGTAACAAATATCTGTTCATTTTTATACACTTAGACTATTTTTAGTTGACTAATTGTCTTTTTCCAACCACAGAAGGAATATATCTCTTTAAATTGCCTCTCTTAAGGTTTCCTCAATTTTTTCACCTAATGAGCTAAAGTGAATTTTAAAGGAAATTGTTCTTCTGTCTTCTTAGAAAGCAAAGGCTGGGCTAAGAAATCATGGATGTAATGTGCCTATAAAGCAAACTTAGACATTGCATATGATATGCAGGGTGGTATGGCCTCTGTAGACAGCCACACAGGGACACGCTGCACACTGCTACCAACAAGTTTCCACTTCTTAAGCCAGTGCATTTCAAATGAGCAGTTTTGACATATTCAATGGGTATATCACTCAGTCAATGGAGAGAAATCAATAATTATTTTGATTAAATGATAAAAAGATTCAGTTACATTTGCCGGTACTGTTTTTTTTTTTTTTAATTAATGATGTAAAGGACTTTTTGGCTGCTGGTCAGACAAACTAAGCAATTTTCAGACATTACTTTGGCCTTGTTTTTGATTCCAAAAACTGTCAATGATTCCAGTGAAGTAGCTACAGTTTTGACCTCATGATTAATGGTTATTAATGGTTGATCTTTTTACTCATGTGAAACTAGCAAAACAACAATGTCAAAAATACTCCATTATGAGTGAATATCCCTGTGTTCAAACACTTACTGAACTAGAAGTCCATAAGTATTATCAGCACAACACCGGCTATTTAAATATCATTGGTATGAGTTCTCAACCCCATAGTGTTGTCCCTGTGATCGTTATATGTCTTATGTTTTTTATTATTGCAGTTGCATTAATGTCTGTGTAGCATTTCCATCTCTTACCTGGTGGAAGTAACTACACCTTCACTTTTTACACACTCTACTGTATTGTAGATTCAATTTTAAATGGATAAAATAGCATTTAGTCCATCATTGATCTATAATGATAAAGTGAAATCATGTTTTTAGAAATCTCTCATTTACAAAAGACCTTTCATTGAGACTTTGTAGAAGCCTCTTTGGCAGCAGGTACAGCGTTGAGTCTTTACAGGCTTTGCACACCTGGATTTGGGCAGTTTATCCCATTCTTCCTGCAGATCCTCTCAGGCTCCGTCACTCTGGATGAGAAGCGTCTGTGATCGGACATCTTCAGGTCTCTCCACAGATATTCTGTGTGGTTTCATGGACAGTCAGAGACGTTCCCACTTTGCCACTCTAGTGTTGTCTTGGCTGCTTCAGGTCATTGAGAGGTCGTCCCGGTCTCAGGTCATCTGCACTCTGGAGCGCCTCTCTGTGTTTGACTGCCTTCATCCTTCCTTCATTTCTGAACAGTCTCCCTGTCCCTGCCGCTGATGCTGCATGTCACCATCATGCTTCACTGTAGGGATGGCATTAGCCAGCTGATGAGCAGCGCCTGGTGTTTCCAGACACAGTGTTTGGACTTCTGCCCAGAGAGTTCAATTGTTGTCTCATCAGAACAGAGAATCATTTTCCTCCTGCTCTTAGTCCCTTAAATGTGGTTTGGTAAACTCCAGCAGGCTTTCATATGAGTGTTACTCAAAGTGGCTTCTGTCTAACCTCTCTACCATGAAGGCCTGAGTGACGGAGAGCTGCTGAGACGGTCGTCCATCTCTGCAGAGGACTTCTGAAACTCTGTTAGAGTGGCCACCGGGCTCTTGGTCTCCTCCCTCACCAAAGCCCTTCTTACCTGGTTATTCAGTTTGGCTGGGCGACCGACTCTAGGAAGAGTGTGGGTGGTTCCAGACTTCTTCCATTTGTCAGTTATTGAGGCCACTGTTCTCCTGGGACACTCAAAGCTTCAGAATTGGTTTTATAGCCTTGTCCAGGTCTGTGCTTCGAGGTCCACAGAGAGTTCCTTGGACTTCCTGGTTTGGTTTCTGTCCTGGCATACAGTGTGAATTGTAGGATCTTATATACACAAGTGTCTACCTTTCTAAACTAAGTCCAATCGCTTCAGTTTACCACAGATGGACTCCAATCACGTTCTCCTTCATCTCAAGGATAATTAAAACAAACAGGACACAGTTTGGAGCCACAGCAAAAGCTCTGAATACTTTTGTAAATGAGAGAGTTCAGTTTCTTAAAACATGGGGGATTGGTTGTAGATTGATGGTCAAAGATGTCAATTCTATCCATTTACAATTAAATCTACATTTCCGATGACATTTTGCACTAGATCTATGTCTGCTAACATTTATTGCTGTGCAGTAGATTTGCCTATTTAATTATTTATATCTATTTTTTGCTCTGTTCCTTATTGTGTCATATTGGGCTTTTGTTTCTATGATTTGTGGTGGATATAGGGTTTTATATATGTAATGTAAGCTACTGGATACCTGAATTTCCCAATTAATAAATCTATCAAGGGGTCTGAATGCTTTCTGATGCCACAGCTGAGTAGTTTAATCAGTAATAATACATACTGTATATAACAGTAACATATTATGTGTGTAAAGTGCATTATAAACAATTCCCTCTGAAATGTTGTGAAGTATAAATAGAAAGTAGCGTCAAGTGGAAACACACAAGTGATTCCTCCACTGTATTATATTGATGATCAATGGAAATATTCGCCGATAATAATCGTTATGCAGTGTTTTTTTTTTCTTTTTTACAATTCACAGCCCACACACACACACTCAAAGGAGCGGCAGGTGTCAGCAGAACACACACCCTGAGCCTTCAGCAGGTAGCCGATGTGTTTCTACAGTATTTATGACCCAGTGTGAGTGTGGCTCTATCTGGAGCTGGAGCAGTGAGGGTTCAGGAGCCTATTACGGCTGAAGTCCTCTTGGTGACGCTCTGCTGACATCACTCCGATATTCCCCAGCTCAGCTCTCCGCATCAGACACACGGAGCTCCGCCGACTCTCCCACGCTCCGTCCACACTTTGTTTCAGTTTCGCTCCGCTCGCCGTGACCGAGTCACGCTGTCACACACAACCAGCCCACGGCTACCTGAGCGCACTGTGGCCGGCCCACACGGGGAGGGGTTTGGCTCTCTCTGTCATTAACAGATTCAAAAACGAGAGAGAGAGAAACTTAGCGCAGTCCTGGTTGAAGAGGTCCCTACACAGAGAAGCAGAGGGAAAGAGAATCGGCAACTTGGCTGATTTCAACCCAGGCTGTCTGAACTGAGCTCGAAGTTTCTTGGCTGATCGGGGAAGGAATACTTTGGAGCCCGTCTGCCCCACACAGCGCTGTTGTGGATATTTACGTCCACCTTGTCTCCTCTTTAGAAGAATGGCGAGAGATTACGCGGCGCGCTGTCCGGTCTCTCCGGTGAGAAACACTTGGCTGGTAGCGGCAACGATCCTCCTCGTTGCCAAAGGTAAGACGAAGCGACCCGAGCTGTGTTTGGTTAACGTTAGAGCCTCTTCGGTTGTCCACCTTCTCCAGCCCCGTGCGTCCTGAATGCGGGAAACCCTCAGCAATCCCAGCCGCACCGCCCGCGTTCTGGGTGTGCTGCATGTTCCCCCCCTGTCACGTCTCTTGTCTCCTCTCTGGCTGCTGTTTGTTGGACCGTGGGACCTGTTGTAAAAGTTTATTGTCGAGGGTCTCTGCCTGATCTGTGTGTTGAGTTTTGGTACGCCATGATAGGCGAGGTGTGGCTCTCCTGGTCTATGGTTTTTGTCCTAATTCCTCGCAGCTTCAGACGGCAGGTGACTGTTCAGGAGACCTAATCCTCCCTGAGCCTCTACAAACCCTTCAACAGGGCTGACCTGTAATTTGTGTTTACCTGTTGGAAAGTGTCGCAGGGAACAGCCACAGGTCTGATTATTAGCCATTAGAATAAGGGCAGAAATTGGTTTCTTATTCTGCAGAGCAACAGGGTGATGATGGGAAAACAGGGTCTCAGTAGGAAACGAGAATTGCTTGTATCTGCTCTTCAGGTGGCCCTTCAACAGTGAGTGCTTCCTTGTCAAGAGCCCTTAATGAATACCCATTTCAGTAATCCTATAATAAATTGCCTATAGAAATGGAAAATATCAGCGTGTCACCTCTGTATCTACACTGTGAATTTATATTTAAGGAGATTAAATTCCATAAATTGTGACAAGATTGTAGAGCCTGATGCATATCTGATTTTAAACCGATACTGATATTGATATTCAGAATGATAGAAAAAGCAGCTATTCTTTGATTTTAAAAAAACAAAACTTTTTTTGAAATAATCCTTTAAAGTCAGTTCTTTCATGGATGAATGAAAGGCTATTTTAAAATGGGACAAACAGCAACTGTAAAGATAAGATAGGGCTGGGTAACTTTAAAGCAGTCTAAACAAACATTATCAATAAAAACAAAAAACAAACATTGACAACTTGACATAAGAAAAATACGGTTCAAAAATATCTTTCTATGTACATATCTGCCAACATGCACTGATACAGATGTATCTGGGATAAGCCGATATTGGCTGATAGTATCAGCCTGCTGATGTATGTTGAGCTGTAAACTTACTGTGTTGCAAGCACGCTGCAAGAGTGAGTTTTATAGTAATAGCTTAAGAGAGAGAAGTTTTCAAATGTAAACCGAGGTTATTGATGAGCGCCACTGATGCCATAAATAAAATTAAGATAAGAAAGATAACTCACTATTGAGTAATGCAGATGCTTGATAGGAATATTGTGGAAATATTACACAGTAAACCAAACAAGTTATCAATAACTTTGCTAGTGATTACCATAGCAACACTTTCTCTCCCCATGTGAACATTGTAGTGTTAGATGTGGAGATAAACCTAAACTAAACATCACTAAAATGCAGTGCTGAGTGATGCAGACACGCTCTAACCCACAACAGAAGCAATTCCAGGAGTTTTTTTTTTCCTTCCCCAACTGGGACTAGCTACAAAATTCATAACAGCAGGCAGTCAAGCTACAGTGATCGGCATAAAAATCTGTGAGGCCGCTCTGTCAGCGTGAATCTGTCAGCCTGTTGTTTTCACCTGGGTGTAACTAGTATCATCTGTCAGAGCTGTCCCAAAATTGTCACCAAGGAAAAAGAAGATGGGTCATTATGGAATCTGGAAATATACTGTCTCGTGCGTTGACATGCCTTGGAGACATGCCTCTGAGATCAAAGCAAATGGGGTTGGGGGTGGGGCAAGGTACTTGAAGGATATGAGCCGCAGAGCCTTTGCTTTGCATTTTGCTGTAGCATCTGTTGCATAATAGGTGACAATGTGAGCTGTGATTTTCACTGAGTGTACAAGTCAGGAGGAAGATTTAACCTTGATTAGAATTTGCTCTGTAGTGGTATTTTGTTCCCTCCTTGAACATTCAGGGCGATGTGAGCCACAAGAACAGAAAAAAATCCCTGTGCAGTGGAACAAAAATGAGGACTATGGTGCTGGAGACCCCGGTACTGTAAGCCATACAACGCAGGTTGGGGTGAGGATGACAGATACTCAGCTGAGACTCTGCTACATCAGGCCTGTATTGTTAAAAAGCTGTCAGATTGTCATGACAGTATCCCCACAGGTTATGAATTAATTTGACTGTGCAGCAACACAACTGTCTTGTTGGAGGAAAAAACCTCCACACTCGCATTGCAGCTGGTTAGCCACAGAGTTACAGACTCTGAATGCAAAAGTAGAAGCTTGATTTTCCAAGATTGTCCTGACATATGAAACATTTTTGTGAGGAAACAAAAACGAGGAATGTATGGTCCGTCTGTCTGTTTTAATTTACGTGGAAAATATACAAGTGCTCTGTGGCAGCGGTGAAACTTTCACCGTGATGTGAAGCGAACCGTGTTAACCTTCAGTAAAACAGGCAAAACAGAGTTGAGAGGATATAATTCCACAGCAATGATAATTAAGTCACTTCAGGTGCACCCCCCCACCCCTGCTTGTCTCTATAGACTCGATCCTGTGCTGAAATGTCAATCACGATGAGTCCCCTCGACGGCTTGGTGGAGACGAAGGGCTGATTAGCTTATCACTTGGAGAGCAGGCGGCCAATGATTATCGCCCTCAGAGCAACGCAGCCTGATTATCGAGAGCTCTTATTAATGACTCATCGTTTGCCGTGTATTGTTGTTTTTGCATATTTGTGTAGCCTGTTCCGCAGCTCCGGTATGAGCTGTTTCGATTTGGGAACTAGCGCAGAAGAAGGTTGTGATGAAGAAGCATTGGAAGCTTTAAACCCTAAATAACCTTCTGCTCTTCCACTGGTGAGGCAGCAGCACATTTTGTAATCAAAGAATATCAACTGGTGAAGCAGTGAACTATTAAATTTCACTGCTTAATTATAAAACATAAACAACTTCTAAACAAGCATTGAGGTCAAGGCATTCATCAGTGAGCTGACCAGCACAGCCAGTTGTGCGCTTTTGGCTTCTTGGGCAGGCACAATTATTTTAATTTTTCTCTTAGCAGAATGTTTTAGTTGATTAATTATTGGAACAAGCCCAGAGGCTGAAAATCTCCCATTATTTCAAAAGCAAAGGGCAGTTTGAATAAAAATGCCAGTAATTTTCTCAGTTTAAGCAACAGATTTTTCCCACTTTACGTAACACAGACACCCACACACACACACACACACACACACACACACACATACACACACACACACACACATTGACATAAACCTGGGGTTGAAAATGATTTTGAGCCTTCACCATCTGTGGCGCAGAGGTCCCAGCCCCATTGTGGCTGATGGCAGTTAGACTAAATGTCAAGGAGTGTATCTCGGGAAAAGTGGTGTGTGCATGCGTGCGTGTGTGTGTGGAGAGGGTTTAGAGAGGGGTGGTCCTTTGTTGCCTTGAGAGCTGATCATAGGTGTCATCACTCAGTTGAAGTGTCAATAATGGTGTGAGGCAGCTGGATGCGTGGCAGGAGTGCATTTGAAGAGGTTTAATGATATGTTTTAGATCGACTTTTTGTGTGTTTGTTTGCAATCTTCCAAAAAATTAGAGCTTAAAGTCAATGGCAAACACAACACAATAATCAAAACAAAACTGCAATAAGATAACAAAAAGCAGTGGCACAGAGGAAGGTGCAATAAGTCATCCAAGCTGAATGTGATGATGCTTATTTAATGAAACATGAAATAATGATTTAGCCTCTTAATCCGAGACCCAGCACATTAAAAAAACACAAGCTGCTGTCATGTTGGAGACCAGAAATGAACTGTTTGGGTCCTGACCTGCTGTTAAAGGCACATTGGCCCCTGACTCAAATGTCAATGGCTCTTCCTGGTGAGACATGGGGCGATAATCATCCCTTCAAGAGCAGACGGTTGATGCTCATTGAGCTTATTAATGACTCACACCAACACAAACTGCATAGTAATGCTGGGGGCTGTTGGTGTTTAGGGCCGGTTTGTTTGTCATTGTCCGGGCGGTCGTGTGTGTGTGCTGGTGATTCTCACCCAGAAAGACACAATGATCAGGTCCTACTCTTCTGAAAGAATAAGTTTACATCTTAATTACAGCCTTTTAATGATTGATTGACAGACTGGCACACGGTGTTGCATCACTGTGATTTGTTTGTCTGCATTAATGTTTAAGTTTGTCTGGGTTTTAATTTTTGCCTCTGGGTTTTCTTATTGATCAAGGATTAAATTCTTAATGACTTCCCACGACTCTTCGTATGGACCTCTAACTTTGTGTTGCAGGCTCTTGCATAATGTTGTTTGGTTGTTTTTGTACAATGATACAAGGAGTTTAGATGCTCCTCTTTTAAAATATTCCCACGGCAGCGATTATGGCCACAGGCAGAGGTTGGCATGGTAGGTCACTTTCAGAGATTTGGAACTGGTTGTCATGGATACAGCTTTTGTGGATGCGATGACTTCACATCTCTTTGTTGTGCAGCCATGTGTGGTGTGTGTATGTATTTCTGTGGACTTAAAAAAAAAAAAGAAGAAGCTTTAATTAGGGGAAGAGATTGGACTCCAGGGTGATGTAAGAAGCTCCATCAGTCCGGCTCACGGAGAATCCAGGAAGCAGGTTTTAATTCATCACTCTGCCTGCCAAGAGTCAGTAAGCATGTCTCTGCACTTGGTCAGCATTTTTTCTTTTTCTTCATTCCACTTCTGAGGACACCAGTTACGTTTGGAGAAATAAACCATATCATGGCTAACACCTTGGCATTCCTTAGTGATTCTTCAGCAAACAGGTGTCAGTGGGAAGAGGGATTAGAGAATGGAGCCACAGGAACAGGGCCATGAATCACAATGGAGCTGATGTAAGGACGGTTTCACTGAGTCATGCAAGCCTTTTACCGATCACACACAAACTTTCTCTCTCTCACACACACACACACACACACACGATCAATGTGGCCACCTTCTCTGATTTTGACTTTTACCACTATGCAGGGTA